CCTTATGTAATATGTGGAAATTTGTGGCCATAACCAAGCAGTTGCTGCAGATCAACTCCATAATAAGCTTGAACAAGCTTTAAATAAAGCACCCCTGCTGCCCCATTTTGAAGCATGGGACACTGATATGAGATGCTCTGGGCATTTTAATTATGGCATTTTAATTACAGCAGCTCTTGGAGTTGCTGTAATTAAAACCCCTCCCCCCAACCCTTGGAGCACATGTATAGATGCCCAACATGTCTATAGGGCTTTTCGTATAATCTCATTGTAGGACCAGCCATGTAAGAGCAGCTGATTTGCCAATCTTCTTGAGCTTACTGTGGCACCAGGGCACATTCATTTCACCTCTGCAATTGTGAGGACAGAAGCTGGAGTTCTTCAGCTTGTCTCCTTGTCTCAGTTCTCTGGTCATTTTGAATTTGTAGCCGCAGGGTCAAGGTTTTTTTGTTCAGGGCTTGGGGTCCCAACCGAATGAGTAGGATTGTGACTTATGCTACAATACTGGGGCCAGTACCAAAGAGAGACAGAATCTGCTTCCACTCCTGAGATTGCCAAGAGCTTAAGGAACCATTTTTAAGAACACTGAATGCAGAGTACCTGGAAAAGATGGCTTTTCGGAGAACAAGTATCAGGCAATCCCTTGCTGACATGCTGACTTTGAGCAGGGGCTGGAAAGGAAGCACTTTATGAGAGAGAATAGTCATGTGGCAAACCAAGCTCCTTGAGTGTGAGCTCCTGTTTCCTCTATGCCTGGCTGGCCCTGCATCTTACATGTTTTCTTCAGTAGTAAAGGACATACAAGTTTTAAAATGCTACAGAAAAGATTCAGTGACAACAGCAATTTTCTCATGTTGGTGAAAATGGAACACAAGGGTTGGGGTAAACCTGTTGTCTGCAAAGTGGAGTAGGATGGGTTAAGCCTATGGCTATTTTGCAAGGGAAGAATGCTGAGCCAAGAAGAGAAATGTTAAAGCAGAACTTGGGAGAAGGCAAAGGAATATGCCTGCTACAGTGGTTTAACTGAGCACAGCCTACTAAAGTTTCCCTACTCTGCTGGTATCAGGCACCTTCCATCTTCCAGTCTTGCAGATGAAAGGTCCCCTCAGGGGCAGCTCTATTAACATACCTGACTGCTACGTATTTCTGCTGGAGGGCACTACAAAATCAGCACTTCAGGCAAGGCCCCAGGCTACAGTGAACAGCCTGCCAGGCACAGTGGTGGACTAAGAGACACTTCAATATATATATGTGTAAATGAGGAGAATTAGTAGGTCCTGTTTAGAATTGGGGCCTACAGCCATCACTGAAGGAAGCTCTAACAGATATTCCTGGAAAAATGAATAGCTTTACCTGTACAGCCTTAAGCAGCCCTTGTACCACGTCAAGAGGCAGAAAGGACAAATTATCAAAGGTCTCAGTCACTTTGGAGGATGAATTTTGAAGGACAAGGGGAGCAGACACAACGATGTTGGACAGCAAGTCTGAAAAATAAGACTGTGAGCAGAGCGGCTACTGCCAAGAATGGTCCCAACTAGGGTAGGGAGGAGAGAAGGATTCTGTTTCACTCTTTAAGGTCAACAGATAAACGAACTCTTGTAGCCTTCCTTGTAACTATAGGACTTATTGGCAATCTGCAATCTCCTACCTGGATATAAGTCTCTACATACACACAGGCTAGTTCTTGCCTCATCAGCAGGCACTCGGGCATAAACAGAAGTGCCAGAAGCATATCCTTATTAAAGGCAGGCCCAGGACTTTGAAGCATCTTTCCAAAGATCAGGAGAATCTAATCCCCACTAGCTTCACCTCTTCACCCAAGCATTCTCCAAAAAAAAGGCGGCACCTTGGCAGTGGGCCAAAAGAATGGTCACCAAAATTACGCTGAAAAGAGCAGAAAAAGAATGGTCCCTTTTAGACCACCATAACTTGGCAACAGGTGTTTGATATACAGGCTTAACATGCAACCTGCACTCTATAAGAAAGGACAACCACAGTCCCTAATGATTTATCACTCTACAGTGTTCATCCTTCCTCTGCAGTCAATCGTGTGTTGAACTGCATGGACCACTGACGTTTGCTTTATCACCTGGTAATAGGTTCCGGTAATAAGGAAGCACAGCACCCGATATTCTTAACCTCAAATCACCTAAACAGGAACTTGCGCTATGAAAAATCTGAATGTAACACTGGAAAAACAGATGTTTCCTTCCCTTATTCTGGCTACCTATGAAGTGGCTGATCGGAGAAGCTGCATTTGTGATAACTCTGTTCAGAACTTGCTCCAGAATCTCACTTCTGATCAATTCATGGACCTGAAAGGGAAAAGGAAAACACCTATAAGAATTGAGATTTTAATTAATTGTAATTAAGATTCAGAGTTCAGCCATTATCCAAGAAAGATCTTTTAGATCTAGGTCTGAAAGGCAACATTAGCCAGGTCACTAGCTCAACAGAGACAAAGCCAGGATGAAATTGGAACCAGCTAGAATAAATGTAGGCCTTAGGTGGGTACTTCCTACTACTAATGTGCTGGGACAAACCAGGTGGTAGATGACAGCCCAGAAGTCAAAGCAAAGACCTGGGAGCCAAGACGTCTATAGTCTGTTCCCATCTCAGCCACTGACTGCCTACAAAACTCTGGGTTTTTCCCTCTTCCTCCTTCAGTTCCTCCAGACCCAATGATGAGGAACACACAAGTGACATCTCAGACAGACATAATATTAACAATAATATTTTCCAACCTCAGAGGGGAGATATGGGATTAAATCTTTAAAGGTCTGCAAAACACTTTGAGATGGATCCTGCTGGATATAGGTAAAACCTTATTAAAGTTGACGAGAGAGAGAGAAAACAGTTTCGCTGACAGAACAGCTGATATTATCTCAACTTCACTGTACCTTAAAGGTTTCCAGGAGGATATTAGTTCCTAGCCGGCAGGCCTGCTGCTGGGCTGGCATTTTGGAAAGGCCACAACTTGCTTCAGCAATTTTTCCTCCTAAGAACTTTTTTGGCTCATAGGATTCCATTAGACTGAAACCAAGACTCATCAGCCCCTGAGTAACAAGGTCCCAGCCAAAAGCACTGCAAAAAAATGAGAAGCAGAATGGGAAAGAGTAACTTAATAAAGGAAAAAGCTTAGACAGCAACATCCAGATTAACAAAATGTTCTGTGGTCCTTTGGGGATCCAATGCAGGGTGGCTGCTTTGTGACACACTCGCATTCAGGTCTCCAGATGGGGCACCCTCCATAGCGTCCTCCAGCCAGCAATTAGGAGAAAGGAATGCCACAGGTCCTAAGCAGCTTCCTATTGCCTTTGTACAAGACTCTAGAATGACAACTGGCTGGCAGATGGTAGGTGACAGAACTAAGCATGGTGTGCTTAAAGGAGTATGGCTAAGTGAAGACCTAGCCCTCACCTTGACCAGAAATCATTCAAAGCTACAATAGGAAGCCTTATTATAAATGACCAGTCATCATTACCATTAAGGAAGCAAGTGGTCAGATTATCTATTTCAGCAACCTGCAACATAAAAGGCTGAAATTTAGGAGGCAGCTGTGCCAAAATGCTCTTCCAAAAGGCCTTCTGAGAAATAAGGTTTTTGAGGGAAAGCTGGGTGGGGGGAAGAAAATCAGCGTCAGGTTTCACTATGCTCACCTTAGCAGCAGTGGGCTGGCTCCCACAGTGTCCCTAGCTGGGCCAAGAGCTGTCTCCCTCCCCAGAGTTTCTGAGCTCTGTGTAATGTTTCAGCCACTCACCTATTTTCTACCACTTCCAGAATTATGGCAGATACATCATACTGCTGAGGAAACAAATCCTGCAGGAATTTTGAGCCCTGGATTAACTGCTGATCCTTGCAGCTCTTCATTATCGATGCTTTCAGGAAGTCAAAAACCTAGAATGTGAAGTGCTGAGTGAGGAGATTGTCCACATCCCTTCTGAAGGTAGCCTCAGGAGGAGGGGACTCGATTCTTGTTAAACTGAGAGCAGTCTAGAACAAAGGAAACTGCTTACACAGCTCTATCAAAGTAGCTGCATACATTTTCCCCCAGCACAGTTATTCCCCACTTTACTCCCAGGGGTAACCAAGATGCAAGAGAAGCCAGATGGATATTTGCTGCCATCCCTACCCTATTTTGGACACAGATAATGGCCACCTCAGAACCAAAATTAATTCAAAGTGAAGGAGTTGCCGTCAGCTTCATCCTCTCCCCCCCTTCATGTCAGAGCCATTTCCTCTCCACACCAGGCATGTCTCAATTACTATTTTATGGGCTGACAGGACTCTGCAGAGGCTCATTTCAGTGCTCAGTAGTTGAGGTATGCAAGAACGAGGATAAAGTCCTCTTCCTTTAAGATAAGAATGTGTAGTTCACAGGAACCCCAAAGTGCTCTTGAGTCCTGAGCAGCTCCTCAAGGAGTTGCTACTAGGCCACTCATCTAACCACATTTGTTTCTTATTATTATCATGTCAGCAAGGATGGATGAGCTTCATCCCAGGGTCCTGGAGGAACTGGCAGAGGAGATCTCAGAGCTTTTAGCAATGATCTTCATGAAGTCGTGGGAGATGGGTCAAGTACAAGAGGACTGGAAAAAAGGCCAACATAGTGCCCCTCCTTAAAAAAAGGCAAGAAGGAGGACTTGGGGAACTACAGACTGGTTACTCTCACCTCACTACCTGGGAAGTTACTAGAGCATAAACTAAGGAAGGCCATTTACAAGCATCTGGAGGAAAGGCTGACCAAAAGCAGCCAGTATGGATTTGTGAAAAAACAAATTGTGCCAAACAAACTTCATCTCCTCCTTTGACAAATAACTACTTGGGTGGATGAAGGCAATGCTGTGGATATAGTGCACCTCAGGGGCAAGCAATTATTTTGGCTGGTGGGCCACTTAGTGAGTTTTGGCGAGCTGTCAAGGGCCACACATCTTTTAGAAGATACATATTTGAAGAAATTATAGATAAAAACAAATCACATACTAAAAATCAAACACCTACTATAACATATTTTAATTTTATTAAAAAATATATTTTTTATTCAGATTTTTTTTTGAGTAGTGTATATAGAGGCAATTGCCTAATAGCTCAAAATAAAGTCTTATACTTGTATATTGCGTGCATGGGTGTTGGGGTGGGGGGTTGCCCACATGCTAGGTCCTGGGAGCCAGCAGTGGGTAGGGGGAAAGGTGGGGGGAGTGCAGGTGTCACGTGCAACAGAGCTCACCCAGACAGTGCGGTGCGGTGCAGCTGCCCCCTGCAACAGTCTGCATGGGACCAAGCCCCGCTTGCCTGCATCTGGGGCAGCCCACACTGTGCTCCCACCCACACCCGCTGACAGTACTGCCCTGACCCTGTCCAGTGCATACAGAACTGCTGCTGCAGCCAGCATGATAAGCAGCCTGCAGGCAGGTTAGCTGTGGGTGGAAGGTGGCCAGGAGGTAAAGCTGGAGCCCAGTGCACTGGGGCAGGAGCCACCTGGCTGCAGCTTCCTCTCTGTCTGGCTGGGCACATGGTGCCTGGCCCATGTCCCCACAGCCACCTTCACTTCCCTGCACTACCTGCTGCCTGGAACAGCACAGCAGGGGCAGGAAGAGAAAGAGGAGGTGGCACTGGAAACAGAGGGAGCCAAGCAGTACCCAGATCACTGCAGCAGCAATGCTGTGTACGCTGGCTGGGGCTGTCAATGGGTGCAGGGCAGGTGCGGGTGCATCACGGTGCAGGCTGCCTTGGGCAGGAGCAGGCAGGGCTCAGACCCATGTGGCACACTCCAAGGACAGCCACAGGCTGGATGCAATCAATTGGCAGGCCACATTTCGTCCAACCCTGGCATATTTAGACTTCAGCACTGCTTTTGACAAGGTTCCACATGACCATCTCATAAACAAACTGGAGAAATGTGGGGTGGATAAAACTATTACAAGATGGATAGATAACTGGCTCAACGGCCACAACCAAAGGGTAATTATTCATAGGTCTATGTCAGAATTGCAGGAGGTTTCAAGTGGAGTCCCACAGGAGTTTTTCTTTAGTCCATTGCTATTCAACATGATTATTAATGATTTTGATGCTGGCATAGAAAGCTTCTTGAGCAAGTTTGTGAAAGACACAAAATTAGAAAGGACTGTGAACATGCTGGAGGATGCAAACACAATTCAGAAAGATTCTGAAAGACTGGAAAGTTGGACTAGATTTAACCAGATGAAGTTTCAATGCAGACAAATGCAAGATACCACACCTAAGGAGGAATGATCAAAAACACAAATACAAAATGGGGGACACCTAACTGGATGGCAGCACTGTAGAAAAGGACTTGGGAGTCTTGGCTGACCACAGACTCAATACTAATCTGCAGCGTGCATAAAAGGCCAGTTTGGTTTTGGGATGCATCAATAAAAGCATTAGGTGCAAGACATGGGAGGTAATAATGCCTTGCTACTCAGCACTGGTTAGGCTTCATCTGGAGTCCTGTGTGCAGTTCTGAGCTCCATATTTTAAAAAGAGCATGGAGAAGTTAGAGAGGGTCCAGAAGTGGACAACAAAGATGATCAAGTGCTTGGAAAGCAAGTCACATGATGAGAGGCTGAAGGAGCTAGGCATGTTCAGCTTGTGGAAAAGTTGCTTAAGAAGGGACATGATAGCAGTCTTCAAATACCTGAAGGGCTGCCATAAAGGAAAGAAAAAACACCTTTCTTCTGTTGCTGCAGAGAGGACATGGACCAATGGCTTGAAGCTACAGCACAGTAAGTTTAGACTGGACATCGGAAAAATGTCTTCACTATTCAGAACAGTGAGGCAGTGAAACACACTGCCTAGGGAAGGTGTGGACCCTCCATCACTGAAAGTATTCAAGACAAGGATGGACAGCCACTGGTCAGGGATGATCTAGGCACAACTATGACTATTTTCTACCATGGGTATTTCCTATGAGTCTAGGCTTTGCTGGTTGCTTCCCACCCCCCGCCTTTTCTGCTACATGTCTCAGGGTATTTATAAGCCTCTCTTAGAGGCACTGGGTGTTAGCTACAGCTAAGGTTTGGAACTTCAACTGGGGCGTGCCAATTCTCCTGCTAGGGGCAAAGCCAGGGGTCCTGGCTAGAGGGTCTTGCCCATCCACACAGGGTCAGACAAATCACCATATATGGGGTCAGGTAGGATTTTTACTCCATGGTCAAATTGATATGGACTGCTGGGGGTTTTGCTTTCCTCTGTAACAGGGGGTGTGGCCCTCTGCCTGGGACCTCTTGAGTGTATATTGACAACGTTTTATAGAAGCAGGACATTGGGTGCTGTGGTCCCCCTGCTTCACTTGTGGCAAGGTAGGGTGTTAGGTCTGTGTTGTGTCAGGGTTAAGGGCAGGCCTTCTATAGAGTTTAAATCAGGGGTGGACAAAATATAGCAAGTGATTCCAGCTGG